AAAAAAAAACTGAATTGAATGTCTTTCCAAGATAAAGAAAAAAAATTAAGAATATTTAATACTAGTAAGATGCAAAAAAAATAAGAAAAGATAAACATCTTTAATCTTTTTTATCCCTAAATAAAATCCCTGAGCTTTTGTTTGAAAGCCTGATGGATATTGACAAACCTGTGACCTCAGTTTCCTAAAAATCAACACAATTAGGAAGTGTTGTACCTTCTCCTCAGACTTTAACCTTGCTAGCTTTATGAGACTTTAGTATCCGTCTAAACCATCAGGAGTCTGGCTGATATCCAGCATAGTTATAAAGTTTAATAATCCCACAGAAAAACATAAACAAAGTGTCCCTATCAATAAAGTAACCAACATGCATACTGTACCTCTTTCCTTTCCTGCTCTGTTACAGTTGTGTCCGCCTGCCTTCCCTCAGGTTCTTGCCTCTCTTCAATCCCATTCTGGTTTCTTTCCACCTGCTTCACCTCCTCTATCGTCGCCTCCTTCCGATCGGGCTGCATTGGCTTCTTGCTGCTCGTTTCCTGCTTCTTTTCCTGCTGCTGGTTTTGCTTTGGTGGCTCTGGTGTTAAAGTTTGTCTGCCTTCCAGTTTACTGTCAGAGTCTGGAGTCATTATGTGACGCTGAGATGAGGCCCTGTCATCCGACTGGGCAGAGTTGGACCTTTTCTGTTTGTTGTTGTTGACCTGTTCAGCCCGCAGCGCCATCTCTGCCTCCAGGATTGGAGGAGTCTGATCTGGGACCAGAAACTGTTGCACCAGGTTGTCGCTCAGTTTGCTCGGCTGAATTCGGGAAGTAATATAAAGCAGATTAAACTCTTTAGATCCTTTCAAATTTTACTTTTCAGTAGCTCTTATTATATGGTAAGCAGAGGTATCTGTTTAACACCCTGAGACACAAAGATAAAAACAGTAAAGTGAAAGGTTAAAACTGTGGTAGTTAAAGGTTGAAATGATCTAAAATGTTTATGTATTTTTTTTATCTTTTGTGTTACTAAAATGAAGTCTGATTTAGTTATAGACCTTGTTTTATATTCAGTCTTTAACTAGTTCATGTCTTTAGCGTCTTCAATGTCAACAACAATGATAACAACATTCAGTGTCCTGAACATGGAGCCCTGAGGAACCCCACATTTGATGTTTGCTCATTCCGATTAATTACTTTTAAAATAAAAGTTTTTATCATTTATTGACAGTATGTGATCATTTCATTTCTAAAGAACTTACAGAAGTTTGTATTCTGAATTTGAGCGGACTTTTCCTTTAAAATGTAAATAAGAAAATGAAATCTGCCGAGGACGATTTAGACAATTTAGCTCCTAAAAGTCCCGTCCCCTCTGCAGTCCACCCATCTATGATGTGATAATAACCAGTTTAAATAGTAGCACAGAGGTACAGTTACACAAAAAATGAAGTTCATTACTGATAGGATGTTTTTTCTTTCATTAATTTTTTTTATTCTAGTAGATAATCTGTAAAAGATGCAAAAGTCAAGTTAATTTTTTTCTTTTTTTAACCAAATAACAAGGCATGAGATATCTTTTAACAATAATATGAGGCGTGTTTTATTAAATATGTTTTATTCCATTAACTCACTGTTTTAGTGCTTTAAGGTCTTAATTTTCTAAGCTACACTGCAAAAAATTCAAATCTTAATAAGTCATTTTTTCTTAAAATAACTGCATTTTTTATTGGATTGAGGGAGTAAGTGAGACACTTTGCCAATGGAACAAGACAATTTATATTTAAAATAAGAAAAAACATCTGCATTGTCTTGTTTCAAGTGCATTTTTATCTTATTATCTTATTTTAAGAGTAAAAATACTCATTCCATTGGCAAATCCTCTTATTTATTTACTCAAATTAAGGTTTAATTCACTTAATTTAAGAAATCTTCACTTATTTTTTCTAGATTGTTTTTGCAGTGTATGTAGCAATGAACTTACTGCTCTCTCCTCTTTGACCTCTTTGACCTCTGGCTCTTTATGTTTGGTCTCTTTCTCTGAATCTCTGACGAGTTGTTTCAGGATCCCTCCTGGCAGAACCGACAGCGGCGGTGGAGGGATGGTTGCAGGCACCGGTTTGTTCTCTTCCTTTATCTGTTGTTTTAGGAATTAAAGGAATCAGACAGAATTTGAAAGAAATAGTGATTGTGATTTTTACTGACAGAGAAATTGGTAGCATGCTCGGTCGACCGTTATAGCAGATATTTGAGATGGGATCACAGTTTTTAGGGCCTGCAACCCTGCAGCTCCAGAGCTGCAAGTGCCTCACTTATTCAATTAAACAATGAACCATTGTGTGGTTTGTTTGTTTCACTCTTTTGTTCTGAAGCCCAATTTAGAAACCATCCCTACTTAGAAACAAGGACTCACTTCTCCTTTTTAACTCACAACTCAAAACTAATCTGTTTAAAGTTGCCTTTTCTCTTTAGTATTCATTTCCCTGTCCCTTTGAGTTTTTTGTAATGGTTTTATTCTGTATTTTAGTTTTGTTTCTGCCATTGTTTGTTTTTATCTTTTGTACAGTGACTTTGAGTGTCCAGAAAGGCGCCTTTAAAATAAAATGTTTTATTATTATTATAAAAACACCTGCCCCACCTCAATACAGCTGCATACAATTTACTTAAAGCTAAAGATCTTCTGAGTTTCTGGATAAAATAGATAATTTTTGAACAATAATATACTCTTTTAGGCTTAATAAGCAAATATTTTTTTGCAAAATAAAATAAAAGTTTTAACTTTGTTAATATTGATTATCTATAAAAAATAGTTTGATCATTAATTTTTTTCAAACTCTCTCTTTATTGTTTTTTTTTTTTTTTTACATATTAATCACATTTCAACAACATTAGGAAAAATGACTTGTTTGCATATTTTGAGAATGAAAACCATGCCTTACATGTGTTGGACCTTAAAATTCAATGTCCAGCACATGTAAGGTTTCTTCCTGTTAAAAAGGAGTTTTTCCTCTCCACTGTCGCTAAAAGCATGCTTAGTGGGATTGCATTCGAGTCATTGAGTCAATGCAATCAGCTGGTTTTCCTTAAATAGAAAACTTTGAATCAATTTGACTTTATGATCTGAAGAACTATGAAGATCCTTGAGATCACATGTTGTGAATTGGTGCTATAGAAATAAACTGAATTGAACTGAACAAAACTTTAGAAGAAAACTGAAAAATGATTAGCTTTAGGTCTAAAATTTTCTAGGTATAAGTCGAATATCCGTCTGTAGTGTTTACTGTTAGCATTGGATGTAAATAAATAATGGCCTTAAAATCAACTATTGACTGATGATCAATTTGTATATCCTATAGTTAACCCTAAATCAAAATTTGTTCCAATAATTAATTGCTAAAGTTCGCTTAGAAGGAATTTCTTTCAGTGTTGTAATGTTGCTGTCCACTAGAGAGCGCTACTCTAGAAGCACAGATCTATATCACAGCTGAACTAAAGTAGCATATAGTCTATCAGTATGTCAGAGCGACGTCTTTTAATCAGTTTCCCTGGAATCATAATCGTTTCATATATTTCATTCATATTATTTAGCGACCTAGTAGATTCCTGTTTTGTTATATCTTATAAATAAGTTTAATAATCTGTAAGAAAACGTGTTTTTCTTTATCAAGTGGGAATGCTTATGCATTCCCACTTATTGTTGTTCACTTCAAATTTTTCTGATTCTAACTAGTCCCGCAGTTTTCAACCGATTTCAACAATTTTGGTATCAAAACGTTCAGCTTGTTCAGGAGAATTGTGCTATGTCTTTTGGTAAAGATATTTTTTGTAGTTTTCGCGATATTCTGCTTTTTCTGCGTTTTTTTTTTTGTCCGATTCAAATGCATGTAGAATTCTTAGATTTCAGCAAAATTCAGATAAAACTTTATCATTTTCGACCT